TGGTTTTTATGCAATACTCTAACTAATCATTATATACCAAATTTTACCACATTTATGAAATTTTATCGCATATTATAAAACAATATTTTATGGTTAATTTCACCAAAATAATTACATAAGCTCTTCGGTGAAACTTATCGAGCTTTTAGATGTTCTCATGGATCCAGAAACACTGTAAATTTTACCATACTCTGGAAGTTTTGACCATACTTTTTTTCTCAGTGTGAGATGTAAGTCTCACGTAGTAATGACTTATTNCGTTCATATAGTAGCGGTTTACTAGAAATTTTAGTTTTCAAAATTATAGTTCTTATTACCACACATTTAGTAAAAAATACAAAACTGAAAAGAAAAATTTAACCGAATAAATGGTTTTTATGCAATACTCTAACTAATCATTAATTACCAAATTTTACCACATTTATGAAATTTTATCGCATATTATAAAACAATATTTTATGGTTAATTTCACCAAAATAATTACCAAAGCGCTTCGATAAAACTTATCGAGCTTTTAGATGTTCCCACGAAGGCAGAAACACTGTAAATTTTACCATAATCTGGTAGTTTTGACCATAATTTTTTTTTCTCAGTTTTTTTTCTCAGTCTCTCATCTCACATAGTAATGACTTATTTAAAACGATTTATTTTAAAACAGAAACGTAAAAAACAGATGATACCATTTATTTGCTATAAATAGAAGTAAGTAGGGATGTAATCAACGAATTCTGTTAATATAATTCCTTAATTTTAATACCATAAACTATAAAGAATTAATTTCTCAATATAATATTACTCGAAAAATTTCATTTCTCTTTCTAGTTTTCAATTTCTTCCCCTTAAAAGATGCAATGTTTAATTTTGAGGAATACGTTTCAAAGTAAAAAGTTCGAATGTAGTGGGTATTTTTTGCTTGATTTTAAAATGGCGTTTTTTAATGAATACGATTTTTTGTTGTGTTAAGGAAGGTGAAAAATATATACAGAAGAATACTTCACATTGCTTTTAAAATGGAAATTTTCAAATTGGAGATTTCTGTTAAGTTTTATTTCGAGAACTCAAAGCTTTGAAAAGAACAATCATTCTGATACATAGGAAATAGTACCTATTATTATTTTTTTTTTTAAGAACTTAATTTATTATTTGAATAAACATACCAAAAGAAAGTACTTTTTGGTTTTTTAATCATTGTTTAAATGGTGGCGACTCGATAATTCTAATTTTAATTTATTTATAATTGTTTCTACATTTAGATTTTGAATTTTGTTTAATTCTTATAAATTGAAATTCTTTTTAATTCGAAAGTTTCTAACCTCAATTATAATTGAATAAAAATCGGGTTTCTAAATTTTTGTTTTATTGACATTTACTTACAAAAGAGATTATCTGTGTAACTAAATATACTAAAAACTAAATACGCACTGAGAAAAAAAAGCATGGTCAAAACTACCAGAATATGGTTAAATTTTCTGTGTCTGGCTTTATAGAAACACCAAAAACCTCAGTAATTTTAACCGAAGCCCTTCGGTAATGATGTTGGTTAAATTAACTAAGTTGTTTAATTAGTAAGTTGGTTATAATATGTAATAATGTTTAGTAATGTGTTAGAATTCGGTAATTTTATGATGATTTCTAAGAGCATAGCATTAAAACCGTCTATTTCGTTAAATTTACTTTTCAGTTTTGTATTTTTGCTAAATCTTTGTTAATAAGAACTATAATTTTGAAAACCGAAAGTGCCGGTTAACAGTTACCATATGAACAGAAAAATTACAAAATGGATAATTTAAATACCATTTACTTTAGTTTTAGTACCAGAAGCATGATTTTTCTTATTGTTTATTTTTTTTACCAGAAATGTCATTGCCATACAGTACGGTAATTTTACCGGAATTTTTTTCACTGTGCTCTAAAAAAGCTGTTACTACAATACGTTATAAACTAAAATGTATAAAAAAAACTACAAATATTCAAACGACCAATCTATCTCTTGTATTATCATTGCATAATAATTTATTAACATAACTATCTCTTTAATAAGTGTTTATTTAAATCCACTATGAATACTTTTGAGTAAAATTCTCACGTTGTTAGCATTTTACCTTGATGATCTGTCACTGTCTTAAAGGTCTATTTTCACGCTTGTAACTGTCAAGGTATGCAACAAATCACATTGTAAATTCCTTTAAAATCCTTGAGGTTGTTATTTTACGTGTTTCGTTTAACAAAGGAATTTTCTTACAAAATTTTATTCGAACGTTTTGTTCTTTTTGTTTCATTTTGTTTTCTCTTTTCTTAGTATTAAAATCAAAAAGACTTTTGAAAAATATGCATGTGACAGTTTTTATATTTTTAAACAAAATACTTCACCGTAATAAATATGCTTGCTAAGTTGAACCATATTATCGTACTTAATTAACTTGATTACACGATTTGATTTGTATGGAAACATTTAATATATTATTAAGGTTTCAGCTAACTAGCGAGTGTGTTGTAACTCAAAGTGCGAATCAACGTTATCCTATTTTTCGGAAAGTTTAAAGTGTTAGAATTAAAATATTTTATTTTAGTTTATAACCGGCCTTGAACAACTGATCCTATTCTGAATTTTGACTAGCAATGCTTAAATTTGTAGTTTTGTAATTTTGAACCCAATACAGAAGACAAGGGAACTCCTGGATCTAGTAGTGGGACAAACTAGCCTTCGTAGAAGACTTTTTAATGGAATTAACTTACATTTGTGTCACATGAGAAGGAAAACCACGAAAACTTCTCACTGTTAGCCCGTTGACAAGGGAATTTTAACCCATGATCCGTCTTCCACCGAGGAAATTTTACGTCATTGCTGTAGACGGTGCGAACCTGGAGCAGTATTCATATCAACCTGCCACCGCTTGGATTTGAACTTGGCTTACTTCATTAAGAGCGAACGCTCCATCTCCTCAGTTATCAAAATTATCAATTTTAGTTATTTATTTAAAAAGGAAATAAAAAAGGTATTGAAAAATCTCTCTCGTGAAATTTAAGATTTTTGTATAGCATTTCCTGAAATTACCAAAAAAGCAGAAATTTAAAAAAGAATTTTTTTTATAAATATAATTATGGAATTTAAATCTGCACAACTTTGTTCGGCTTAGTGCCTGCAGGTAAAGAAAAATGTACTACATTCACGATGAATTCAGTGTTTTGTCAGCTAACAATAACTTAATTATTTTTTAATAATAGGAAAAATATCAATTCGTCTAGAAAATTGAAAGATAACAGCAACTTACGTATTTTTACTCCATATATGCATGTTTTCGATGTAAAAAAATGCTTTTTGTTCGTGCTCTCTTCTTAATAAAATTAAATTATAGCAAGTTTCTAACTTTTCCTCAAGGAAAAATAATTATAATATTTTTTACTACTTGTAAAAGAGTTTAGTCTTTAGCTTTTAAATATATCTTTGAATTGCTGGCATTTTGAAAACATTTTGATTAAAATGAGAAAGTATTAAAATTTTTGCAAAAAAGCAAAAGTTGTTAATCTTTTAACATTGAGATTATCACATCTGTAATTTGGAATTTAAGTTAAAGGTAGATGCAATTTTTCAGAGAGTATGATCAATTATTCCTTATTTTTTAGTAAAATAATTAAAATAAAAAAACTTTTTTTTACAGCAAGATGGAAATTTCGTAGTAGAAGCTTTGTTCTCGGCTGTAGAGGAAGGTAACACAGCAGGATTAGAGGAACTCTTTACTATCTCTAACATTGATCCAAATTACTGCAATAAAGTAAGTCTTTTTGTTTTTACAATTTGTCAGTATTTCTTATGAATCATTTGTCTGTCAGTATTTATTTCTGTTAATGCTTAGCACTGTTTATTTTGTCCTTGATCTTTTTTATGAAGTGCTAAGTTTCGTCCATAATTCAACAACGCAGGGCTTTCAAATCTTCTGTAGCTGAATTCCTGTTAACAATTCACCTTTTTTTGACAGTTTCAAGCATATTACGTCATTTTTTTGTTCAATAAAATTTATCGTCCATGATCATTTTTACCACTTTCAAATTAGAAGGAAACTAAAATTTCAACTGGATGTCTGGTCCAATACAACAGTGTTTCCCAAAGTGTGGTACGCGTACCCCCAGGGGTACGGGAACAGTTTAGCGGGGGTACTCATTCTTATGCGAAATATCTTACAACAAACGAAAATTTCAAAAAATTTTATTTAAAAACATGGCTAGCCATGAAAATTTACGATTACGTATTTTTCTATTGACTATTTTGCTGAGTTAACAGTTAATAATTAGTGTTGTCAGGAGCCCGTTGTGATTTTTAACTTTTGTGCAATTTTTTTATAATAAAAAATACATTCANGTTATATATATACATATATATATATATATATATATTGAGTATATATGTATTGAGTAGAAAAGTATATATATTAAAAATATTATATTCATTTCCCAAACCGTTTCAATAAACCGTATAGTGTAAACAGATTATTACCATTCTTTTTGGGGAGAGGCACAGACATCACAAAGAAAGTCAAAATTACCAAATAAATTATAAAATGAGTGACTGTTTTGAAGAATATTTTAATAGTTTTATCCCAATACTTTAGATCATGGCATAAAAACCATTTATTTGGTTAAATTTTCTTTTCCGTTTTGTATTTTTTGTTAAGTGTTTGGTAATAAAAACTATAATTCTGAAAACAAGCTTTTTCAACAAATTGCTACCATCGAAAACGGTAATACTACCAAATGAATGATTTAAATTCAGTATGTTTTATTTTAATTACCATATGCATGGTTTCTTTCTCTTGAAATGTCTTTACCATACAAGTATGGTAGTTTGGCTAGAATTTTTTCTTCTGCGTGTGATATTAAGGTTAAAGGTAGAGCCAATTTTTCAGAGAATATCATCAATTACTCCGTGCAAACTCATGTAAATAAAATGTAGAAATAGTATTTTTTAGTAAAATAGTTAAAATAAAATAACTTTTTGTTTACAGCAAGATGGAAATTTCGTAGTAGAAGCTTTGTTCTCGGCTGTAGAGGAAGGTAACACAGCAGGATTAGAGGAACTCTTTACTATCTCTAACATTGATCCAAATTACTGCAATAAAGTAAGTCTTTTTTTTTTTACACTTTATCAATATTTCTTATGAATCATTTATATGTCAGTAATGTTTCTGTTAATGTTTAGCACTGTTTATTTTGCTTTTGATTATTTTTATGAAGTACTAAGTTTTATTTAAACTCACTTTTGTGTCTGTAAAGATATAATCTTGAAATCAAAGTTTGCTACATAATTCGACAACCCAAGGCTTTCAAATTCTTCTGTAGCTCAAATCCTGTTAGCAATTCAACCTTTTTTGAAAGTTTCAAGCAGATTTCGTCTTTTTTTTTTTTTTTTTTTTGCTAAATAGAATTTATTGTCAATGAACATTTTTACCTTTTTCAAATTAGAAGAGAACTAAAATTTCAATTGGAGGTCTGGTCCTGATGCCAATACAAATTACAATATTGCTTCCCAAATTGTGCAAGCAAAATATGTTGTTCTTTTTATCGCTAATCGAAATTTTGATCACTTTCTGGCATAACAAAACAACAGACACGAAACTAAATAGAAGAAAACAATGGAATATTAAAAACTATGTTTTTTAGTAGATTACCCTTTCGATGTACCCTTCCGTTAGAAATTTCTATCACTATCAAAAATTTTTACCACATCAATCGATAGCGATGGGCCCTATGTGCTTCGTTTCAGATCGGACAAAATTTATTTATTTTTTTTTATTTTACTTGAATTGCTTCATGAATTTAATTTTAGGAGCTTAGATTCTCACATCATATTTTGGAGATTTAATTACTTTTTTAAGATTAGTACTTAAATTTTTATTCGGAAGCCTCATCATTTTCTTAAGAGTTTAATTACTCCCAAAAATTTTATAATTACTCAAATTATTTTTCTGCGGCATTTCCCTATAATGAATGTTGATAGAAATAAATGTAATGACAAAACTTTAATCCTTACACAGTAAAAAATAATCTGTTTAATTTACAGAAAAAAACTATCAGCTGGTGTGCCAGTATAAAATCTTTTATTTTATCAAAAAATACTGTTAATTAAAAACAGATGTCAATTTTTTAAGGGGATATGCAATGATATTTCAAAAAAACAAACTGTCTTATTTTAAAAGAAAAACTCCATTTTTTTTATCAAATAAAATACTTCTGTAAACAACTATGTCAGCATTGAGGTCAGCGCGAGCCAAGAGCGGCATTCGCATAATCAGACAACGTCGGGATTCGAACCCCGGTTACCTCATCAAGAGGCGCGAGCTCAGTCCTGGGAGATACAACAGCTCTCGTGTTTGGTAATGAAGGAAAATATCTTAAACTGTCTTGATCTTAAAAGTCTTACTTATTGTAATCATATTTAATTACAAAAATGTTTAAAACTATAGTGGCCCGACCATATAAAAATGTCTGGCAGTTAAACTTTCCGAAAAGTTCTATCTAAAGACAGAAAATAATCAGGTAGAGTATAAATTCAACAATGAAGTTGAATCACAATTTTATTTATATGATGTTCCAAGCCATAAAATAATTTTAGTAAGAGCAAGTTTATAAAATTATCGTAAAATGATTTGAAGAAAGATAAAGTTATCTTACGGTTAGCAAAATTGAATGGCAAGAACTAGAATTTGAATTGATAGTTTTAATCCATTAAGAAGGAGGGTGAAAAACAGAGAAAAACTTTTTTGTGAAAAACAGCTTATATACGGAAATTTCTAAAAAAAGAAAATTTTCACGATTAAAAACGGGAAAATATGTATTTTTCTTCAGACAGTTTTTTTTTTTTTTTTTTTTTTTTTCTTTTGCAAAAAAAATTTTTTTTTTCCTTTGAGGAATTTACAGTTATTTTTTACAGTGTAATCACTAATGTACTGCCACAAAACTCAAATAATAAATGCATGTGACGCTAAAAGCCTTTTTCTTTTCACTAAATAGCTTTTCATGCAATTTTAAAAACAAATAAATAAATACATGTGGCTAGATGTGAGTTATTTCGTTTAGCTCCACAAACTTTCACGCAAATACCAGAATGCGTATAGATTGTATACAGACTGTGAATACTTTTATTTCGAACGAAAACTGTAACAAATGACGCCGTTAAAATGTCACGTTTTTAGAAACTCACTTTGTCATCCAATGCATCACCATTTTTCCTTCTGGAGTTCATTCTTTCAATCTCTGTCATATTGTTCTGTCAAATGATTATACGGAAATATTTCAGCTATGCTTCAGGGGAATGATGAAAGCCGCTCTAGAGAAAAAAGAGGTAAAAACTGAAGAAGAAAGAAGAAAAAACGACATTTTTAGAATGAAATATAGAACAGATAAATCACTCGAATAAAATGAGTCAAATAAACGCAGACATAATTTCCAAAACGGAAAAAATGTGCGCAGAAACAAGCCGCTGTCACCTAACATACTTGCTACTGTATTTTATTTTTATCAAATCTCGGCACAATTTATTGTTTTTGACAGTATTGAATTATCATAATTAAGGATTTGACAGATTAATTATATCAAGTAAAGTGGAAAACACATGCAATTAAGAAACAAAACTGGAGTAGAATTTAAATATTTATGTCAGCGATCATTATAGTGTCTTGTTTATTTGCGTGATTTATTTTAGCGTACTTATAAATTATGATTGATGATAAATTTTAATGTAGAATAATATGTTAAAAAGCATTGAACACTTTTTAAAATGCCGTTAAATTAAGTCATATTAAATTTCTCTACTTGTTGATCGTTACAAAATAATATTTTCGCTATACTAAATGAAATAAAAAAGCCCACGCAGCCCTAAGACTCTTATTTGGGTTTTTATTAACGTTTTTAAACACCAAAAATATATCATACTTTCTATATAATCGCAAAAAATGCTTCTAAGATTAAACTATGTAAAGTATTTTGAAGTGTGTGTGGAATATTTGTGAGTCATTTCTTTTGATTGCAAACATGATTTTTCTTAGATCAATTAATAAATTACCTAAGAATTATGCAAAAAAAATCATTTGAATCAATCATTTGAAAAAAATCAATCAATTTTTGGCACACAGTTAAAACTTCTGGATCAAATTACGGTAAAACGTATCAGCACTCAGGGTCGTGGGGTACTTTTTACCGTAAAATCCATTTTTATCGGAACATGTTACAGAACAAAAATTTGATATACATAATTTTTAAAGTAATAATTTTTGCAAAATCATTGAATAACTCTAATTAAGTAAATTATACTGAATAATTCTAATTAGATAAATATTACTTTTAAAATTGCTATATAATGTTTTACAGTATAAGCGTATTTTATAACAAGGTGGTTTTTTACAGATGAAGCAGAATGCAAAAGAGGAAAATCTACTCGATATTGATGTTACCACGTTCAAAATTATTGAATAAACATTAAAAATACAAATTTGTTATTTATTTTGACAACTGTTAACACTAAACATACCAAAACTAGTCAAAAGACCTGTTGTTGTATTGTATTGTAAAGTGTTGGTATGTTTAGTGTTAGCATCTTGTTATCCGTGAAATTAAAAGTTTTATAAGTTTAATTGGAAAATAAAGACTTTTTTCACGCTAACAAAATTTTATATTATTCTTATCAAGCAAAATTTATAAAATGCCACTCAAAGTTTCGCTCTAATTGTTGAAAACAATTTCACAGACATATTCAATTAAAATAATAAAGAATCCTTGTCTAAAAAAAGCTGTTACCCTCTGTGCGAGTTAAACATTTAATTGTTTCTATTCAAGTCTTTAAACAAATATATAAAGCTCATTAAATGACTAAGTATTAAAATTCGTAGCATTTCCTTACGAAAGCATAGAATTAAACAAAACATGCTAAGTAGGAAATATAGAGATTAATCAATTAATGGTGCAATATTTTGACAATTAGTTATCTTTTAATTAAAAAAAATGGCTTTTGTAATATTTGTTTAAAAGATATTTTTCTAATAACCAGCATAATTGAAATAATAATGTTTTAAATAAATTATTTACCCCAAAACAGTTTAAGTGTAGTTCCAAAATAAAAGACTTAAAAATGTCTTGCGTCTGACAAGAAAGCAATCGAAATTTATTGATAAATTTTAATATTTTTGCTATTAACGTCAGTGTGATTATTTTAAGTTGAGAAAGAATGAAAAAATTACTAAACTGTTGAAAAAATTACTAAAGATTTAGGTTATTAATTCTTTACAAACTCATAATGCAATCAACGATAAATAAATGTGTTATGCAATAATTTTAATTTTTAATTAAGGTATAAGTTCTTAATAGTGTTATAATTAATAATACATATTTTCCAAATTTTGAGCAAAGTTTTTTAGCGTGCTACAATGACTCCATTTAAAAAAACATTTTATGGATAACTAAATTTTATGTGTAAATTTTTTAAACAAAGTAAGACCACGCTTTTGTACCCTATTTTTCTAAAGCGAGTAAAATTTAATGATTAATAGTAATGATTAATGGCAAATGGTTAATAGTAATAGCTTAATATGGAGAACAAATAAGAATAAGCATTTACTTAACTCAATTTAAGAAATAAGTCAAGAAGTAAGTTAAGAAATATGTCATGCTAGCAGAAATCAATCTTATCAAAACTTTAAAAAGTTATGACTTCCTGTTACTCTTGGTTTTACAGACCATAGTTATACAAATATGCAACAGTTTGCATTTCATTATGTATACATGCATTTAAAGGAAAGTTTTATTTTAAACTGACATGGTTTGAGTGTTCGCGAACGGAGGTATAAGCTATGTCCTAATTCTTTAATATAGACGAAAAAAATATTCAGGCTAATGTTTTTTTTTTCTTAATATTATTCGGCAGATATTTAAATTTGCATAATTTTTTCCTTTTATTCACTTCCACATTTTCATAAATATATGAAATCTAGTTTTAATGAGCTATTTTCTTCATTATTTCATATGTAAATGAAGAAAAATCTACCAAACTATCAAGTTTAATTTTTTTTTAAGTTAAGTATTTTACTTTTTGTGTAAATTAATCAAGCTCTAAACCACAATTAAAGAACTTTTTACTATATATTTCATCCGCTTAAAAGCTTTTAAGATCATTAATTACAATTTTACGAAATAAGCGGAAACTTAAACTATAATCTCCTGACTAACTCATTGGAACCATATTTTCCAAATCACAACCTTTACTGTACCATTGAAATCGGAAATTAGTATGCCACGATGTTTTATTGCGGCGATCATATGTAAAGCTTCCTAATTCACCCTGGACGTGAAACAAGCGGTTCGAGAACTCTACTACAAATCTGGGAGTCCTGCCGGCAGTCACTGAAACTACTTTTTAGTCTCAAAAATGATGTGGAAATAGAAATGAGTCCCACTCACTCATTCCTCTCTCCATATCATTGAGACTAAGCATTTTACTTAAAAATAAGAATATGCAGTTTGAATTTTGAATAAATAGGATTTTCAAATTCGACTGTAATTTGTTTCGGAGGTATTTTGGCATATTTGTTTACTGTGCCAGTGGTGAGTGATAGATAATTTTGTAATCGATATTTTTATTTTTTAAAACGAAAATATTATTTTGAAGCTTTCAACAAATTTTATTTAGTCGTCCTGTGGCCGGGGGTGGCCGTTAATTCTTTCTTTGTTTCCTTAAGTAGCTTATTTTGAAATACTTTGTAGAAAAATAACACATTTCTAATACCATACTCTTTAAAAATACTGATTTTTTTTAAAAAAAAAAATAATGCTTAGTTAAATTTACTTTGGAAGAGATTTTATGGATTAAAACTAACAGTTTCTTGTTTAGAAATATTATGAAGCAATGATTTAATTTTATAACAAATTACAGAAAGATATGCTATTAAGACATAATTAAATCTAAATCAATCGTTCCAAAAAATTATTATATAAATTTAAAAATTAAAATATTTAATTTTATTCAAATTAATTTTATTTTATCTATTATAAATTAATTCCATTTAAAAATCAAATTTAATTTTATTCAATTGTTTAATTATCTTAATTACTTAAAAGGATGCTATACTGGGGAGAAACCTTTCAAGTCAAATTCTGTTTCACGCTCATTGATATTTTAAAATTTTAAAAAAAAAATGAATTCAGGCAAACCTAGAATAAACGAAGAAATTCCAAATGCTGAAAAAAATATTTTCAAAATATCAAAATAAAAGCAAATTATAGTGGGTTAACTTCCTCACTGTGTAATTCTAAATAATCCAATAATAATTTGCTTGTATTTTTATGTTTTGAAAAAAATTGAAACTTCCTCCCTTATACCACGTTATCCAGAACTCACTTTTCTTTAAACTTCGAATTTTAAATTACTTATTAAAAAGAATTTGCCAGGAAGGATTTCTCCCGCTGCGTAGTGTTCTCTTGTGAAGAATTTGTATTTAAAATGTATCAACTATTTGTTTCTAGCATGGTGAAACATCTGTACATATCGCCGCAGGCTTGGGTCATTTGAACGTGGTGAAGTTTTTACATTCTAAGAAAGCTAACATCAAAGCCTTAGATAGTGTAAGAATTTTGTATCATTTAAATCTTTTTTTCTTTAATAATTTTTTTAAAACATAAATGATGCATTCATGCACAAGCAAACTATCTTTAATTCAATGCCATATCACTTTAATATGCTTTAATTTTAAATTAATTTCCACTTTATTTCAGCATGGTGACAGTGCCATTTATTGGGCAGCACGACAAGGCCACGAGCAGATTATTCGTTATTTATACGAGGAAGGAGTTTCTGTTGATATCCAGAACAAGGTATGGATGTTCCATGGTGAAGTTTTAACATGAAATGTAGGGGGAAATACCTTTATTCCGAGTCCACCCAAGAAATAATTCACCATGATCACTTTTTTTTTTTTTTTAAAGACTCTCTTTTCTCGATCGAATTCAACAGTCGAAAGAATGGAAACGTGGAGGGAAAATTCTAATGTGCCTTTAATCTTTTTTTCAATTTTCACACTTAAACAGATGGTTGATTTTTACTCCATTCGGCTGTATCTTTCGATACATCTAAAATTGAAGTCAGTCACCCAATCAGAATTTGAGATAAAAAAAGCTTATGATATTTGACATTCCCTTTTAATTTTTTTAAACATAATTTACCGATACAGTTCTGCTATCAGTTTTTTCACATAACTTGACGTCATGCATATGAACATTTCCCTGAAAATATGGGCTCCGCAGGGCTCCAATATTTGAGGGAGCGAAATTAAATTACAATCACGATAGTTCTCTAAAAAATCATACATAATTTTTTTTAAAGGTGCTAAAATCCGCCAGAAAAGATTAATTATTTTTTATCTATTTTTTATTTTAACTTCGAATAATTTAAATTGATAATAATTAACGAAAATTTTCCTTCTTAGTCTGAAATATTTGGGGGATTTTTTTAAGAAATTCTAATCATTGAGAGGTCATATACCCATTGTATCTCCAGTCAGCGACACCCGCGCCTGGGAGCGTGATTCAAATTTATAAAATTCAGAAAAATACACTGTTTTGTACTTTGACGCAAACATGGATGAAATCTAGTTCATAGACTTACATTGTTTTCTCAAAATGTTTGTCAAAACTATGGTTTTGATACACAAGAACTTCTCTCTTTTTAAACGCATTTATAAAAAATATTTTACAGCATCCATATTACTGATATGAATTTTGTAGCATGTAAGATTCTGTTAATTGTTTTTGTTCGAATAATTGGATGATAAACTCATACTTTTCTAAAAAAAATATGAGTTAATTATTTAATGTATGCGTAATTTTTATTGTGTAGGCTTATTCCATCCATATGCGTGTCAATGCAAATTGATCTGTGTCTTTTATTTATATGAATTCAACTAAATTTCTAATTAAGAAAAAATATTTGTAAATGTGTGTATTGTAACATAAAATAATAACAATAATAATAGTGCTTCCTCATAATTTTTACACTAAAATTTTAAATATATTTTGAGTTTTATTCTTTTATATTTTGAGTTTTATTTTTTTATATTTTGAGTTTTATTCTTTATTCTAAACCTTCTAAAAATTAAAAATAAATTAATTTTTGACTTTTTCCACACGCATAAATATGATTGACAAGAAATTAAAACTGTTCAATAAAATTGAAGTCAGTTTTTTAATGTCTATCATATGTAAGAATGTTCATTAAACTATAAGATATGAGTAAAAACTACACCTTGCCCAAGATAACAAACTCTTCAGCTGTTTCTCTGGCGAATTTTTATGCTTCTTCAACCTACTGCTAAACAAGAATATCGGAATTATTTAATTTCAAACTGTTTTTAAAGAATTAAAATTATAGGGATGATTAATGAAAAATATATCAGCCACAGAAGAAAATTAATGCAAATAAACTCTTATGTGATTTATTTGGAAAATAATTTGCATGAACAGGCAGTTTTTTTAAAAACTTCTTTTTAACGTACGCGTTACAATTCGTTTTTACTTACTCATTTTTGTCTAAAATACTTCATTTCCCTAACAAAATAATATAATTGCCTTAACTATGCATACAATATAATAAATAGCAATTGATAACTAGCAGCCGCCAATTAATCATTCAAATCTTCTAACAAGCTATAATAAGTTGCATACAAAGCTATTTCATTTTAGTCCCTTTTGTGTCAAAAATAATCAAAGCTTTGTTTTTAAAATAAATGTGGAAAAAAGTAAAGCTTTGTTTAAAAACCATTAAAATACTTGAACTCAAAATGTGAAAAAAAAGAAAGTATTTTGCAAACTTCTCTAATGGCATTCCATTGTTATGATGTATATAGCAAAAAAAAATGAACTTCACATCATTCAATACATATGAAGGGAAATAAATGCAAAAATACAAGTTATCTCATAGCTTTTGACCTTGCAGGTGAGTAAAGGTTAAAATTCATCAAATGTTAAAAAGCAGCCGCACCTTCTTCTTCTAAACCCAAAGATGCCATTGCGTACTTTCTAGCTTATTCAATGAATCACAAGCTGACATCATACTTGAATATTCAATTATTTATTTTCTATTTTTTTCTAATTTTTTTTTTCGCAGGCAAAAGAAACAGCTCTACACGTCGCTGCCCGTTACGGACACACAAATGCCGTGGCACTCCTTTGCCGATGCTGCACCGATGTTAACTTGCCCGATGAGGTCAGCCAATGTTGTTGTTTTTTTTTTTATTATTTTTATAAGGACATTACATTAATCTTAACTCGAGGCATTTCCCCTAAATTAGTTCCTTCCTGATTTAAATTATACTTGCAACTAATGAGGCAGGTTGACTGACTTAAGTTCGTTGCATGTCACTTCGCTACTACTGTGACTCTCGTAAGGTCATTCTTTCGACAGTTTTTTTTTTCTATCCGTGGCTATAAATTTAAGAAAATTCCTTCTGTTCGTAGAATACTGTTTAAAAATATTTTTATGTTAACTTTTTCTATTAAATCCTGCCATGCATAGCACAAATTCTGTAAAATAGATGACAAAGATGATCATTTTAATCCATCCATCTAATATAAGCATTTTATTATTGTTGTTTACACGGAAAAGAACGAACAGACAAGAAATATTTCGGTTACCTAGGAACAAATGGTCCATAATCAGGGTTGCCACTCCACAGGGGAAACCTGGAAAATATAGGGAATTTAAAAATCACCTAAAATAACAGGGAAAATGCAGGGAATTTTATTTTTTTTCCTTACGAACTGGGAAAATACAGGGAATTTTGTTTCTTAATTTCGTCCTTTAAAAAATGGTGACCACTCAGAGAGTAATCCATAGAATATTTAAACATTATATTTCAGCTATATTAAACTATTCCATTTACTATAGTATTTATGTATGTTCAGCTGTTCCTTTTTTTCCCTAACAATTAAAACTAATAAATATAGTTAGCCCACTATAGCTCACACAAGAGCACAGTAATTGTTGTGTTTTCTCTTAATATATTGTGTATAATATATGCAGGGAAAACACACGGAATTTTTTTTTTCCAGATTTGAGTGGCAATTCGGATAATAGTATTTATTAATACTATTTGTATTAAATTCACACAAAGAAATTAAGAGACATCACATAATAAACAAACAAAAAGACAGTACAGGGCCATTCTGTATATGTAAAACATTTGCAATCATTTTATTTTGTGAGACATACCAGATTAAGGACTCAATCAATGGCTTAAAATAATTTCACCCATCCCAAGTAGTTAAGGGATAATCTATGACCCACCTACTCTGTACCTTTACCAACACCTATAACTTTTTTAAACCCTTTTTTAAACATCTTGGTCACTGTCAGGAAATATAAAAGGAGGCCGTAATTCGTCCCCTAAACAAGTGTTTGCTAAAAGCTGGGTAGACCCGGATATTCATTGATTCTTAGAAACTTCTATCTTCAGTTCAGAAAAGCAATTAAATTATCAGTTAAATTAAAACAATGTATACTATATAAAACGCATATGCGTACATGGCTATAAAAGCAATGAAATATCTTGTCACGCTTATAAGCATAAAGCAAGGCAGTTAACCGCTGTTTCCGTTTTTCGATACTTTAGCTAATTTTGTTCCGTTAACATATATATTTAACATATATATTTAGAATTTAGTGCAAAGAAAATTTTTATGAACTGTTTATTCGAAACTGTAGTCTTTAAAAAAATATACAAAGTTGTAACGCATGCGATGAGCGAGCGAAGGATTCGAATTTCGAAACAATCTGAAGAGAACAGCGGAAGCAGTTCCGTAGGTTAGCAAGTGTTAGCGAGAAGGGGCGAAAACTCCTATTAATTAAACTAGTTCACTTGAATTAGAATATAAATTAAGTTACAATACAATAAAAGATGATAGAAGTCTTATAGAAAATACGACAGCAAACATTTTTAATAATTTGACATTAGGATACGGAACCATATAATATTATGAACATACATATGCATCTTTCTATGTAATTCGATCATATTTGTTATTTATTATAAATTTTATGTGAAATAATAGTGTTCTCTTATTTTCATTAAACAACTACAGCATGGTGAGACAGCTTTGCATATTGGTGTGTGGCACGGTTTTCCTAAGATTGTCGACACTCTCTGCAACTTTGGCGCGAAGACAAACTTAAGAAACAAAGTAAGTCATCAATATGTATATTTTTAATTATTAAGGAAAATTATAATAACATATTGTTCACTTCTAAAAGCAATTGTCAAGTCACTAGTTTAACACTTTATGTGCCGCTAATAAGTACATACAGTCGGACCTCTATTTAAGGAACTTCCATTTTGCAAGTTTCTGTATTTTGCGATTTTTTTCGAGGAACCAAGAACATTTTGGAAATTTCTTTGTAAAATAACTTCCAAATAGCGAAGTGAATTTTCTATTTCACGAACTTTTCTTTGCGATCCATATTCCCTATTTCCCAATATATTTCAGAACATTTCAAACTTGTTAATGCATTTTGTGGGGGGAATGACCTTGAATTGATTTTCGAAGCCACTTAACTTTCTAGAGAAAGCAGTAAAATCCCTTTCCCTTTTTGTTTGCATTTCAAAAGAAAATCTCAGACAAAATTAATGGATTTTATCAGTAGCAATTAAACTTAAGAACGCATGTGGTAATATATGGTTGAAATTACTTTTATAATAAAAGCAGTTGTAATTTTATACGTAAATTTATCTCTTTTCAGTTGAAAACGCATGTAGCATAATAGGGTAACACTGGATAATGTTTTGCTCTATTCTTGCTTTTCATGCAGATTTCTTTTATGGCTAAGATTTATAAAATAAATAGTAGATACAAATTTACAAGATAAAGGTGTATCAGTTGCTATTTTAATTATGTCTAGTGTTTATGAATTTAAAACTTGTTTTGTGTTGTTTAAGTATTTCAAAAGGTAATTTTCTATCAACGAATTTTCCATATAACGAACTTATTATCAGGATTTAGCAACTTCGTTAAATAAAGGTTCGACTGTACTTAAATTTTTATTGGATTACTAAAGCTAGTTTAAACTTGGGAAAGAAACTGTGGGGCTACATCTATCATCATTTCATATTTTTTGTAAATATTGTGTCGCTATGACAACAGTTACTGGGAAAAGTTCTTGGTGAAGCAAGTGAATTAAAAAAGAAAGCGAATAAATAATTCGGCAAATCAGATTACACTGTATAAAAAGTAATGTAAAAGTAATTATAAATAAAACGTTTTTTAACGTATAGAGTTGTCTAAACTGTCGTCTCTTTATTTGCCAGTCCACTAGCTAATTCATCAATGATGAATCAGTTAGATCAACCTATAGGAATACGCTTCTGTTGGGATGGGAATACGTATCGTCCGATAAGATTAACTACCAACAGCTAATTGCCATTTATAACCACAGAATTATAACAGTTCATTGGTTTATTCCTCTGAAGGATTTAGTTTAAGATCTGGCTTGAAGATCTCTATAATCCAGAGTTTATGAACCAGAGTAACAGTAATAAATGATTTTTTTTTTCTTTTTCTCAGTTTTTTTCTTTCTTTCTTTTATCTTTCAGAATATATATGTAACTGGCAATGCAGATGGGAATGTGTGGTACAACATTAGTACGTGCGATATAATATTAACAGTATAAATCGGTAGAGTAGAGTTATTCTATTTAAGTACTATTCCTTTTAATACTACGTGGGGAACTTTATATAGAAGTATAGTGATAAGCATACCTTCATTAGAGAGTTTTGGAGTACTTCTAGTTTCCATTTACAAACTAAAAAACGCTAAAATGAGCCAAAGTGTGAGATGGGGTTTGAACCTGCGCCCCCAGTAAGGATGATATTAACATTGAAGACTCTTTATACGATAACATCATTGACACGATTTACATCATAGACAACATAACAGCAATAGCATCATCAATACTTTAAACTATTTTTAACACCTGTATCTAAGTACAGGTGTACTATGTCACCAAATTAGTATTTCTAAAGTTACCTGAAGCCACGTGTTTATTTTGTTTATATTTATGTGCTTAAAACGCGTTTCTTAAAAGAGAGGAAAAAAATAATTGTGGTCGATTTTGACTATCATAAGTTGGTTTTGAACAAGAGTACCGTGCCAGATGATACTGAACACAGCTAATCTTTATTTTGATGAAATAAATTATTAAAAACGAGTTCTTAATGTAATGAAGTAAAACCACCAGAAAGGGCAAAAATTAATAATGAATGAAATTATTTTAGCTTATGAAATTATTTATTGTGTTGGTATATATCTTTCAGTTTTGGGCACCATTTTGTAATGTTGATCAGTACTGATTTATTGATTATTGACTTATTGTTTTCTCCCCATATGAAGAATGGGTATTCAGCTAGTATCTAATAAAATCTCTATGCATTAAGTTAAATGTTGATGTTTCCATCTTTGTACTTTTTTAATAAAACTCTTCTTGACATCTAAAAATAAGCTTTACAGTTACAGAAACATTGTAGTTAACTTATATAATAGTAGAAATGCTGTACTATTAAAATTGTTGGCTTGAATAATAGTAGAAATGTTGTTATTGTTGACTTAGGTAATTATAGAATTGTTGTAATATTTTAGTTATTGAATTACGTAGTAGCAACAATAGAAATGTTGTAATATTATAATTGTTGACTTGAGTAATATTAGAAATGTTGAAATAGTGTTATTATTAACTTAGGTAATAGAAATGTTGTAGTACTGTACTTGTTGGTTTAACTAGTAATAGAATCGTTGTAATATTGTAATTGTTGACTTAGGTCAGTGATTCTCAACCACTGTGCCGTCGCACTTTTGTGTGACGCCAAATATTAGAAATGATACAATAAAAATTATAATGCTTTTTTTATTACGAGTAAAGTTTAAATTAAAGATAACTGTATATATATAAAATATTATATATATACACATTTTATATTTTTTCCATGCTTTAGCCGTGTGAACATCTTTGTCGGTGATTGTCTTGCCTCTGACAATCTTAAAATAAGAAGAAAGTGTTTAAATTGTCTTACACAATTTTGAAAAATGTTGAAATAAGTAGGAAATTTAATGATTATTAAAATTATTAATCAACAAAGGAAAGTAAGCTAAATATTGACTTTCAAACTTAAATAAAAGTTGATCATTAAAGTAAGCTATGAAATTAAAAGTTATAAAAACAAATTAACAANAGATAACTAACAAAAAAAATAAGCTAGCAATTAATAATTAGCGAAAAAACTAGTTGACAAGAAATAACGAAAAAATAATTGTTAATATCTATAGAAAACAAGCTAACAATTAATAACTAGCAAAAAAAAATACCTGTTATTAACTAATAAAAAATTAGTCGAAGGAAATAATTAATCCCTTAATAAACGTGCTTTTGTAGTACATATTATTTTATTTCACACTCAAAATTATTATCACACACTACTTAACACAGTGTATTATAGGTATGTAAACAACTTTTAAACTAATTTTTTTCATTGTGTGCCATCAAATTTCGAAATTGTTAAAAGTGTGCCGCCCCCAAAAAAAGGTTGAGAATCACCGACTTAGGTAATTATAGAAATATTGTACTATTGTAGGAAATTTAATTAGAGATAGAATAGTTGTAAGATTGTAATTATTTTCTTAAGTAATTATAAAAATGTTGAAATATTGTAATTATTCACTTAGGTAATAATAAAAAATGCTGTAATGCGGTTATTGTTAACTTGAGTAGTACTAAATAAGTAAAATATTGTAATTATTTAATTAGGTAATTTTTTTTTCACTATTTCGGTAATAACAGTAATTTTATAGTATTGTAATTGTTGGCTTAGGTAATAATAGAATATTTGTGATTAATCAATTTATACATTTCATTTTTCCCATTATAAAAACGAGACTCAAACGGAAAATATTTCATTTCTATGTCAAACTAATGAACCATATATATCACTCAGTATCTTTTTCCGAAATATGACTGGAGAGGTTAAACAAAGGAATAGCTTTTTAAAGTAAGGCGTCGAAAACATGAAGATAAAGTAACTTCTGCGTGACATTTTTGACTCAGTTTATTAACAAGACAGATAAATGTTTTACGGATCATTGACTTCGATCATCCTTGCGCGGATGGCATTTCGCATAAATATCTGGATTTTATTTAAATTTGTATTGTGCGGTTGATGCATCTGGAGCTAGGTTAATTCAATTATTATAAGTTTAGAACAACAGAAATAGGCCAATTTTACTTCTTTTATTTAAAATATATTTGGGATGCTGGGTGTCTGAAATTATGAAAGCAAATGAGAAGAAATTATAAAAACAAATGAGCTGGAATTATGGAAGAAAAAAAATTCATGAAAATGGTCAAGTATCTCAAGGAGTACACATCGGACCGAACATCTAAAAATAAATGCATTAAATGTTTTCAGAAGATTGCATAAATGACACCAAATTCATTCCCTCGCGCTATGGTGACTTACTGAAGTAGAATCTAGTTTATGAGATAACAGATGAGTTTGATGTCAGTAGGTAGTTTGTTAAAACTGTCAAACAATTTTATTTTTATTCCTCAGAGCAAACTAGTCTTTCTCGAGGTTTTACTATTTTAAAACACTTTTCGCGCCATCTTCATTTTGCAATTACAGCGCCATTTATGAACCAAAATGCAACCATCTCGTTTTATTTTACAATTTATAACCATCGTTGAACAGCCGACCCCATTTTTGAGCTCACGACCATAAATGTTCAACTTCACAGTCTTGTAACTTTGAACTCAATCCAGAAGACGAAGTAACTCCTGGATCAATTATAAAGAGAATTTTATCATAGCGGAGAACTTTTTGATGGAACTAACCCCAATAATGTTAGGAAAACCACGGAATCACGAAACCTCCCACGAAAGGAAACCACGAAACCTCCCAGGATTAGTCTAAAGGCAAGCTGACTCAAACCCAAGATCTATCAACTACTGAGGATATTTTTTTATATATTGGTCGTTGCGAGCCAGGTTCAGAATTCGTATATACCAGCCATCTCTGGTTCTCAAACCTGGGTTACCCTATGGGGAAGTGAGCGCGCTATCCCCTGAGCCACCACGGCTCAAAACTATTTCGTTTGTCAAGTTGGAGTAATTTTTTATGGAAAATCTATATTTGTCATAATAAGCCGCGATGGTTCAGGGGATAGAGCGTTCGCCTTTCAATGAGCGATGGCTGGTCGATACGAATTCCGCATTTGGCATGCACCGACCACAGTGCTGATGTGAAATATCCTCAGTGGTAGACGGATCATGGGTTTGAGTCCCCTTGCTGTCTGGCTAACCGTGGGAGGTGCTCGTGGTCTTCCTCTTCATGTAACGCAAATGCGGGTTAGTTCCATCTGAAAGTCCTCTACGAAGGTAAAATTTCTCTCAATACTTGATCCAGGAGTTCCCTTGTCTTCTGGATTGGGTTCAAAATTACAAGGTTACGAAGATGAACAGTGGTAGTCGTAAACCCAAAAATTGGGTCGGCTGTTCAACGACGGTTATTAAATAAAAAATAAAATAAAATAAATGGTGTTTCTAATTTAAAATTTAAAAGTTACCCTTACCCAGCCCCCAAAGAGTTGAGATTGGGGATCGAGTCGTGTTAGGCATCTTTAAATAAAAAAAATTTTAAATACTTCCAAAGTGTTTCTTCAGATTTTTGATCTCACGTGCATTTCTTGTTGAGCCCGCTGTGTTTCAAGAACAAACAACAATGAAGAATAATTTACGTACGGTGACTTCAGATTATTAATTCTTTGTAAGGACAATTTTCGACAAATGTTATGTTAAAAAAAATCGGAATCGAGATTGATTTATAAAAATAAATTCCTTTTGTTATCTAAAATTAAGTGATTTCTAGGACGCTTCTCTTAGAATTTCAACTATCTAAAGAATTGGTTTGAAACTTCAGCTTCTGTACTTATAAATAATCGAATTTTTAATTTCTGTGAGGTAAAATTAAAATTACAAACTTAAGAGAAATGATAAAATTAACTAACGCATAACACACAGGAGAAAATTTCTCCCCTGTGTTTACATTTCTCTTGTTGACACCGCGATAGTTTTTACTGTGACCCACATTTATTTAAAAATGTTCATGAATTTCTTTTTTTTTTCTTTTTTTTTGAAACAAGTAGCCATTTTATTTTAATTTTTCTACCTTTTTTAACCCCATGATCATGAAATTCGATAAATAATTGTAGATGTTTCGACAAAATGCATCAGTTCTAAGCTCTGCATTTACTGAAAAGAAATCGAAAAAATTTATGCAAAATTTGATAAATAATTTAATTATAATTAATGTTTTTGATTCGTTTTATAGATTTTTAAGTAGGTAAAATACGTCACTACATCCATTCTTCAGTTATTTAGAGTTTAAAAAAAATTTAATTTAATCAATGATACAGCGTAATCAGAATTTCCACTTTTTCGTTTATTTGTTTTCGGTTCATTTACTATTCAAAAAGATAGAAAAAAAATTAGAGCTTTCGAAATGCTTCATTTTATAGATTTATAATTGTGAAAATAAATTATTAGAAGGTTTTCATCACTTTTATAAATATGAGAATTTAAATTTATAATTTTAGTTTCTATTATCTTTATGTAATTTTGAACAAAATAAAAAAAAAACATTTTGAAAAAAATTATTTATAAATTTATTTATTTCATTACAATGTAATCATAATTCTTTGTACTAAAATAATGTTGAAAAGAAAGTTACATTAATTTCAAAGTGCAACATTTTAAAATACATAAATTACAGGAAGAAGAAACACCACTGCATTGCGCAGCCGCGAGAGGACACACAGACTGCGTCAGTAGCCTCCTGGACGCAGGTGTGGATCTGAATCTAGTTGACAAGGTATGTACTTTCCGATTTTAGTATTGGCATCACGTGCAAAGTGGGACGGAAGTTACCATCCACGAAGATTCATTGTTTCGGAACCCTCGCGTGTTCGTAAAAAGATACAAGCCTCTGTTAACCCATGTTATTAGTACCTTACTAAAGATCTAAGCTGATATCCGTGACAAAAGACGCGTTCCAAGGTCCATCTCTACATAATTGCATGGAACTGATCTGTTGGTCAGAACATTGTAATGACGATTTTAAAGCTACTTCTTGATAGTTATTGTCCAGTAAAAAAAAATAAAGGATCTGTGCTTAACTAGCTATATCATTTATCATTTTGGATTTCAAATGTCGCATTGTAAGTATGCGAATTTGACTGAGATTTAAATCCAATGGGGACCTTTCTATGGGTTAACTGTGATATAAGATATTCATGTATTGTTTGGTGAATATTAAAGGTAAAAACGCAATTCAATACTGTATATATTATACAAGCAAAATATACACAAGAGTTAAATCCTATTGTTTTAATTTTCTGTGTGGATAGTAAATAAGTCTAAAAGCACGCGAAAATTGAATCAGATTTATTTTCGTTACCTCCTTTTTTTTAAGATATATATCCAGAAAAATGATGTTCATGCAGTGTTGCAGCATTGTGTGATTTCGTTTCTAATTGAAGACAACATTTGATAAAAATGACACGCGAAAATCGAATCAAGTTTTTGAGTGTCATTAACATTCAGCGGATAAGACTCTTCAATACGCTGAAAACAAAGCATTCATTACCTTTTAATCCCCAGAATACTATAAGTTTTAAATTAAAGCAATTATAAAAAATTTTATTTTACAAAAAGAATAAGCATTGTTTTGATTTAACATGGTTTGTAGAAGATCTGACGCCAAGTAAATAAAAAAAGCCACAGTTTAAATATCCTACACTCGAATCAAGGCAATTATTTTAAACTACTTGTATATATATATATAATCTAGT